TGGAACCTTTTTTAAATTGAAAAGAGAGCGAACATGTGCCTCAAACAAAATGATGTACATTTTCAACATTTACTATGATGTTTAACAGCAATAAATTTGTTTCTTTTTATTGTAATCAAATAGTTTTATTTTTTAAAAAGATATGACGCGTTTAGGCAACCAGTTATACAGATGCATGCATGTTAAATCTGAGAGGCGGCACGTTTACATGACGTACTGCGATTTTATAATCATTTATATAAACCCTGTATCAGACAAACATTGTTGTCAAATGGAATTTTATCAAATTATTAGAAAAACAACAACCATACCTTTGTACATTCTAACTGAAATGGTAATTAAACATTGTCACGGGCGAGAGAAATATTAACTAAAAGTTTTATTACTAGTTATTGTGATAATGAATGTGTAGTTTAGTTGATAAACGTAGCAAAAGAACAAATTTTAAAATCATTATAACACCACCAAAATGTGAGAAGGATTTTTTTTACTATTTTTTCGAAACTCACGAGTTGATTGTTAAGAGCGCAGCAGAGAGCTAATCCGCCATCTTCCAGGGGAGTCAAAAAAATTAATGGATTAAATGAATGCATTAATTTTTTTATTGATTAAATCAGAAACGGCTCACACTATTTTCCAGAAAATTTGGGAATACAATACTGTTATCATTAATATATCACTGCACCTATCCAAATTGATACAGGTGTCCTCGCAAAATTGTTGAGTTTAACATTACATACATATTTTTATTTTAACTTATAGGGGTTGTCAATTTTTTTTTTTTTCGAAAAAGCCTATTTGCTTTGTTGTACTTTAGGGGCGAGAGAAGCTATATCGAAATAACCTCCAAATTTTTTATCAAATGATGTAAAGAATGCTACTTGGTGCGTTTCCATTGTGAATGTTTGATTTATTATTAAAAAATTAAAATACAGTGTTACAAAGTTAGCCTAATTTGGTTAAGTTAAAAAATTGGTCTAAAGAGTTTAGACAGTAGTTCCCTCGCTGTCGGAAACTTGACGACTGCATGCCTATTGTGTTTTTTTTCTCATTACATTTTTGTAGTGGGAATTTAAAAAAAAATTGCGATGACGTCATCAACATTTTTGCAAGGACACGTATATCAGTTGGGATACATGTAGTGTAATACTAAGAATAAAATTATTATATTCTCAAATTTTCGGGAAAATGAATTGGGTCGTTTTGAATATTGATTTGTAATAATCAATAAAATAACGAAACAATTTACTCACGTATACGTATCAGAGGCATCTGAAAATCGTGTATGTATAAACATTCTTAATTTAAGATGACAGGCGTAACAGCATACGTGAGAGTCAAACAGAGAAACTGTAAACAAAACGACCATCGGTTTTATTGCTTCGACTTCCGCTTATTATATAAAACATTGGGTTTTATTTTAATTCTTGACGGTGAAATTCACAATTGGTTGATTATAAACATGTCTATTTCACATTCGCGGAACCAAGTGAGCGCATAAAACAAATGCAGGTCTGTAATGTTAAAGTCGATGTAAATAAGCGTGCTACCCTTATGTTTCAACCGAGTTTTTCCTTTAACAAATTTTGTGTCTACCAAATTGGGTTGGTTGGGGTGTAATACTAATAATAAGTGTTGCCTTTAATTTAATCAATAAAATAAATTGACTTCATTAATTTTTTTGAACCACCTCTTAAGAAAATCTAAAAAATATGAATGGAATGATAAATCACAAGTACAAACTCATCATATTTTTTGCATTTTAGATAGGATTTATTCAGCAAAATTTAAGGGTGACGTCATCAATTTTTTTAGGAGGGATGAACAAATACATTTTGAACAAAAGTTTACCATGCTTATAATAACTTTAAAATATTCCCAAGATTTCAAAGCATTCGGTTTTCTAATTCCTGATTAAATCGGTAAAATAAATTCACGCCTTCATTAATTTTTTTGAGTCACCCTGTATATGCAAATCGAAAAAATTTGAATGGAATGATAAATCACAAGAAGAGACTCACCATATTTTGTACATTTTAGATAGGATTTTTTCAGCAAAATTTTGTGGTGACATCATAAATTTTTTAGGGGGGACGACCAAATACGTTTTGATCAAAAATTGACCATGCTTATGATAATTTTAAAATATCTTCAAGATTTCGAAGCATTCGGTTTTGTAGTTCCTGAGTAAATCAGTAAAATAAATTTACGCTTTCATTTATTTTCTTGAATCACCCTGTATATGCAAATCCAAAAAATATGAATGGAGTGATAGATCACAAGTATAGACTGATCATATTTTATACATTTTAGATATGATTTATTCGGCAAATTTTCGAGCTGACGTCATCAAGTTTTTGGAGGGGATAAGCAAATATATTTTGACTAAACATTTATTATGCTCTTTATAACCTTAAAACATCTGCAAGATGTCAGAGCATTCGGTTTTGTAGTTCCTGATTAAATCAATAAAATATATTTACGCATTCATTAATTTTTTTGAGTCACCCTGTATATGCAAATCCAAAAAATATGAATGGAGTGATAGATCACAAGTACAGACTCATCATATTTTGTACATTTTAGATATGATTTATTCCACAAACTTTTGAGCTGACGTCATCAAGTTTTTGGAGGGGATAAGCAAATATTTTTTGACTAAAGATTTATGATGCTCTTTATAGCCTTAAAACATCTGCAACATTTCAAAGCATTCTGGTTAGCAGATTAAAAATTAAATTTCAAAATGTTGTTTTATAATTTTGATTTTTTTTCCAAAAATCTGGACGTTTCGGGTGAAAAGCCGATTCAGAGTTGTAAACTGCATGTGTAGGACTATGTTATTTTATACAATTGAAAACCCATTTACTATGTACAATTTTGAAGTGACGTCATCGCATTAGTGGTGGGGATGATTAGACAAATTTTGGTTAGCGTTTTACCATCTACATAATATTCTTAATATAAGTACAAAATTTCACAACAATCGGTCGAGTACTTTCGGAGATTATCTGTCTAATAAAAATCCGGGACAACAGACGGACAGACGGACGGACAGACGGACGGACAGACGGACAGACGGACAGACGGACGGACAGACGGACAGACGGACAGACGGACAGACAGACGGAAATGGGAGACCTATTTCTTCGTCTTCTAGGGGTCATGAAAGATCGAGAAAACGTAAAAGTAGAGAGTCGGCCGACGGACTCGATTACAATACTTCCTTTGCTTACGCTCGGGAAGTAAAAACAAGTTTTTTTAGAATGGAGCAAAAAGTAACACTGGACAAGTATAAATTCAAGTTTTGTCTTTCCGACGGTGGAAATATTCTTTTTTTATTTATTGTTTATCCAAAAATGTATTGAACCACCTGCAAGGCGACTTCTAAGGCATTTTGATGTGATCAATGGCATGAGATATCGGGTACATGAAACACGTGAAAAATAATACTCAAACAAATTTGTAAAATAATTGTGAAAAGAAATCAAAGCGGATTCACGAACCACAAGTACATAACTTTACTACTCAAAATGAGGGGACGTCATCAAATTATTAGTGGTTTCCAAGATTATTTATCTAATACAATACTTCCTTACTCTCGGGAAGTAAAAACAGGAATATTTTACCAAAACATTATTAACAAATTCATATAAGTTTAAGTTAAAAACGTGGGTTATTAACTCAAAAAAAAAAACACTCCTGGAGATTTAAAGTACTATGACCATCAGACAGTCGTACGGAAAAAAAAGTTTCATAATAAAACATAAAATTAGATAAAAAATTAATCTCATAAGTATGTATCCTGGACAGGGAAACTATCTGAGAATAATAGTAACAGGTATGTAAAAACTATACATATATAAAAGAGTAACAATTTGTTTCCATATCACCTTTCACTACTTAATTTATATTATTAATTAAAAATTAGATTAGGAAATTAGAACAATTTCTTAAGAATGCGCTAAACGTCACTAAATTCCAGATTTGAATACAAATTTAATGAAAACAAACAACAAAATGACAGTTAGTAATTGTCAATAAAGTAAGAATGAACCGGTAACTGTTCCCTATTTATTATTCATCGTCTGTTGAGAGCATACGTCGAATTAAAAATTTAAATATTTACACAAGTACCATACATAAAATGTAAAATGAAATTTTTGATATTCCGAGTGGAATATAATATTCGTTTTCGGCTCAGTCATCAACGTGTTTAAGTATTTTCAACACCCCTTGTATTTGTAATTCAAATTAGCCGAACAAAAGTGTCAAAATTGCTGGTTGAATGAAAAGGAAACGTAACAGGTGACAGACACTACGTGATCGGAAGCTAATTGTCAGAGATTTACTCATCAGTCATCCACTGATGAACTGTGCGTATTGTTTCTATGCATTGGGACTTTCACCTGTAATTTACAACTTCACCCACGATATCACGTAATCAATTTTTATTTTTAACAATGAACTCACAGAAATGAGGCTTTTTAGCCCTTGACACTTGGTTACACAGGGTATACTAATTAACAACGTGACCTTACACACTCATATAATTACACTTTTAGGCCAATACAAAACAAAAATTGAAAAAAATCGAATTAGTTCACTTAAGGTGAACCACAACCACTCCAGGGTTGCTGCGCTTTCTATTGACACTGCAATTAGGAGAAGATAACAAGAGCCTTTTTAAGACGGAGAATTCCATCGACCCTAACAAGGCTAATTTTAGACTGCCGCCGCCTAAGAAACACACCTCCCTCGGGACACCACTTGTTCCGTGTTTTAAAATTAAAAACGAATTAAGCCCAAATTAAATTCCGAACGTCCACACGTCACGCCACCAAAAGCAGCAACAGGAACCTTGAACGAACGCAAAGGTCATCGGCGATGAGCCCGCAAGAAAACCGCCGAAGACCGACAATAAGAAGGAGTTGCGCAAGAGGTGTTTATTATTGTGTATGAAATTCAATGGTGCCGGCACAATTTGCGCAGAGGTTCCCCTTGCCTGGTTAACATTGACATAGACCTGGTCATCGTTGTCCAATGCTGCGCTATTATCTGACCCTTCCACCAATTACGGGCAATTGCGGCGCGAAGAACCGAAATGGCTTTCTAAATTTCATGGCAAAAGCGCCAACATTGAAACGGGACACAATAAAATGATGATGGAGGCTCAGTTTTGTGGAAACGTCGAGTGGCGTCGATGACAATGCGTGCTGCGGCGGATGGCTCTTTACTGCTGGTGTAATGTGCGATTGTTGATAAGTGGTCTTTTTCCCGGTTTGTTTTTTTCAAAAAGATGAACGTGTTCACTCAGTTGGTCGGGGTCGTGGTGAACGCGTTGATGACGCCCTTTGACCCTTCGGCGGCGCCGATGCCCTATATTGTTAACGAGGCTACCTGTCACACAAATCATTTCAGACTGGGTAAGAATGTAAAATATAATCTTAATTTTGCACATTGTTACTTCCTTGTGAGATTTATTTTTATTAATGACAACAGAAATGGAATTATATTCAATACCCGCAAAATGATATAAAAACTAATTTTAATTACATGTTGAACATACAAATATGGCTTCCAAAGTCTTATGCAAGTAACTATTGTTAAGTTATTGCTGAACAATATTTAATGACAAATTGTTGACACAACCGTTTAATTTTCAAAAATTATGAAATATTTACATAATAATTTATATAACCAATATTTGGCTGAATTAAACACATTTCACTTATGTCAGTAATTCTATTAGTGTTACGTGTACAAAGTTTAGGACATTTTTACTTGAAATTCATTCTTTGTCGAGGTTTCGTAGATTTCCGGTGTACCTCATCTAAGTTTGTTTTAACGACATGGAACCCAGTGGGAGAAATTCGTCCAGCTGAAGCAGAAATAAAGTTTACGGAACGTCGCGAGGGAATCAGTTCCAATTGAAACTTTTCTAAACCCAATACAATTAAAATTTTAATAGACACACTATATGATTTCCATTACGAGGAGTCTGTACCTTTGGCTCATGGAATTTTCAATATATTTTCAAAACGAAATATCTCCGTTCGTAAAAGACGTATTATTATAAAATTGTAAATATAATTAATCCGCAACTTGCGCTATATAACACAAGATAGCTTTTAAAAACAGTTCATCGTCATCTTCTTTTCAATATTTTGGCGAAATTTTTCATAACGTATTTCTAAAACTCGATATCTCTATTATTTATGGAAATTTCGTAATTCACCACTGTTTTCAGCGTGCAGAACTCTATATCTCATTTCTAACAAAATAAATCGACAATGTAACCTGAAAACAGTGGTGAAAACCGCGTTCCGAAATTTCCTTAAATAATCGAGATACTGAATTTTAATAATACGTGATGGAAAATTACACCAAAACTATAAAGAAATGATGATGGTAAACTGTTTTAAAAAAAATTGCTGCTGTTAATATCGGAGCTATTATATTCTGAATATGTAATCAACGCGAGTGATGAACCTAGGGTCTCGCCTTTTAAGACATCTCATCTGACTTACTCTACAGAAATGACTAATTCTGTTTTCTCGGTGGTATAACTCTTACAGTATGTAAAAACAATGAAGATCTTCTGTTTATAAATTAGTCTTCATTACTTCCCGATATTAAGGCTAAGGAAGTATTGTACTAAGGTCCATCCGACGGATGGCTACTTTCATGTTTTCTCGGTATTTCATGGCCCCTAAAATATGAGACATATGTGTCCTGTTTCCGTCTCTCCTACAGATGATCTCCGAAACTACGGGAATGATTTTTGTGAAATTTTATGTAGGGTAAAAATATCAAGTAGATGGTAACATGCTAACCAAAACTTGCCTGTTCATCCTTACCCACAATTTGATGACGTCGCCTCAAAATTTTACAAAATAAATTGTATTTAAATTTTGTAAAATAGGGCACTCTACTCGTGGTTTATTAACCTACCTTGATTTTTTAGCCTAGGCATCCAGGTTTTTGAAAACAAAAAACTTACAAATATGTAACAAAATCTTATAATTTAACTTAGAAACTTGCAAAGGAATTAAAGGATGTCCTGAACATGGTAAAACGCTAATCAAAATGTATCTGTTTATCCCCCCCCCCCTCAAAAATTGATGACGTCATCTCAAAATTTTACAGAATAAATCCTATTTAAAATGAGCAAAATTATGAGTCTATAATGTGGTTTATCAGTTATCAAATTTTGTAATTTAATGTAAAAATTCAAGGGACAATCTAACAATACAACTTTTTTTTATTTCAGAGCGCACATTAAAATTCAGCTCACATAGTACCATATAATAAAAAAAAAACCTCCTCTAGTAAGCTATGAAATTTACTTCATCATTATTTTGAAAGTCAATTTCATGGTCTGCTACAGGACAGGATATAAACCTGTTAAAATCAAATTATATGACTTCTGACCTACGATTTTCGGTATGATTTTTCGTAACCAACTTGCAGGATATGCAACAATTACAAAATTTGATTGATCCTGAAGTTTAAGCAAAATTTTCGGAAGGATTTTTCACAGTTAGACGTTCAGACAAATTAAGTTGTAGAACTTCAACAGATATGGTAATGGAACAGTCTATGATGAAAGCTATGAAGACAGATGGAGGTTTTGCGTAAACTTCAGGATCAATCAAATTTTGTAATTGTTGCATATCCTGCAAGTAAAGGTGTGCAGACTTAGCATAAGGAAAATGTCCAGACGCGTGAAAATAAGGAAGCATTTCTTTGACGCAGTTCAAATGAGCTTCCCAATCTCCCATACGCTCAGCTCTTAGGGACTCTTTAGCAATGGAAACCAAATAAAAATATTGAATCCAAAGTTTTGCAGTTGGTCCTCGTTCCTCATATTCTATTAGTTTTTGATTTAATCTGTTAAGTAAAGCTTCAGAAACTTCATCATCATTTTCTATATCATTGTATGAAAAAGTGTTTTCTAATATACGCTCGATATTTATGATTAGATCTGCATTCAAGATGTCATCAATTTCAACGTCTTTTAATATTGTAATTGCTAAAGCAAGCTGAAGTAGTGTATGTAGTATTTTACCCTATACTATATAATATTACAACTCTAGAGATGAATATACATGGCGTACTCATGCATGTTATGACAATTACAACTGTTATAACTTTTTGCACCGCTATATCTCGGAGACAGTGGCTCGTAGGAAAAAAAGTATAAATACATTTTTTATAGATAATTTTATGATCTATAATTTTAGTCTGAGGTATTTTTATGATAAAACTTACCGTTTTGTTGAAAATCGCGAAAAACTCATTTTTTTGACATTTGACCTTGAATAAAAAATTTTCCATACACGGGAATGATGGGGAACTTTCAGGTTTTGTTTATAATTGTATTTTGAACAATTGTACCAAAATTCAGCTCGTTGCGAATTTATGTAATTTCACCACAATTTTTTGGTCTAATTTGACCGGACTATCTGTACAAATCACACAGTATAAAGACAATTTTGGAGAAAATAATGTTACAAGTATATACAAAGTTAACACAGTATGTAGTGCATTTGAATTAACAGAAATGAAACCATTTTTTTTTGAGTTGTTCATTTAGATTATTTATTGTAAATTATTTCACTTTTGTCTTTCATTTTTTCCTTATTTGAAAATATGTTTCAAACAATACAGTTACCACTTAAAAGAATTGCCACTTTCATATTTTCTGGACGTGTCATGACTTCTAGACTACGAAAAAAATAGTCTCCCATTTCTGTCTGTCTGTCTGTCTGGTGTCTGTATCCATTTTTATTAGACAACTAATCTCCGAAACTACTGGACCGATTGTTGTCAAATTTTGTATGTATATTAGGAATACCATGTAGATGGTTAAATGCTATTTAAAATTTGGCTAGTCATCCCCACCACCAATGGGATGACGTCATCTCCAAAATTTATAATGAAAAGTTTTTTGAAATTTTATAAATATAAGATACTCTTGTACTTGTAGTATGTGAATCCGTGTCGACTTTTCACTCCAGACAATAATAACAATATTTTGTAATATAACTTTGAAACTACAAAACCGTATGCTCTGAAATCTTGTATATCGTAATCATGGTAAATCGTTAAGCATAATATGATGAGTCTATACTTGTGATTTACCACTGCATTAGAAGTTTTTTAATTTCTTATACAGGGTGACTCAGAAAAATTAATGAATAAGTCAATTTATTTTATTGATTAAATCAGGAACGGCTCACTCCGTTTTCCCGAAAATTTGGGAGTACAATACTGTTATCATTAGTATAACACTGCACCTATATATAGTGATATAATATGTCTTTGCAAAAATGTCATCACAAAATTCTGTTTACTTTAACGTTACATACTTATCTTTATTTTAACTTATAAGGGTTCTCATAAAAAAAATAGAAGTCGCATAATCAAATTTTACTATTTTTCGAAAAAGTTGTATTTGTTTTATTGTATTTCAGGGGCGAGGGAAGTTCAGTCGAAAAAACCTTCGACCAATTTTTTAAGCAAGATTTCTTGGACTATACATCAAGGGCGATGGAAGCTCTAACGAAATAATCTTCGATCAATTACAAGATTTATAAAGATTGCACGTATACTGCACGTGGAAAATTCACCAGTAACAGGTAGAGCCTTGCGCTCTATAAGTGCATACTAAACTCATGTACCTAGTAAAACTTGTATAACTTAAGCGACTTAAGCCAAACCACCCTTATCTTATAAGTGAAACTGGCTATTGTAAAACTTAACTCAGTAGACCTAGTAAAACTTTACAGCTCCATTATGGCAACAATGGACAGTAATAATCCTTGCGGTTCGGGTCCATAAAGCTTACAATAGCCAGTTTAACTTATCAGAGTGGTTTAGCTTAAGCCTTTTAAGTCAAAATCTTTACTAGGTGTATGTCAAGTGAGTTTAGTATAACCGTTCACCCGATTTCTCCATCCTCCGTGCCAGGTCAAATATAAACAAGTCAACGAAGTGTGCTTTCGTAACATAGTGCGTTAGAATCAAAAGCAATGGCGGTGTATGGATTATGGATTAATTTTTTTTTTAGTTATTTCGACCGAATTTACCTCGCCCTTAAAATACAATAAGACCTCTTACTTTGATAAATTTTAAAATTTCATTTCTTTTGTGATAAGTTGTATAAAGCAATATACAAAACTTCGCTTTTCAAGTTCGATGCGCCACAAAATATCCATGCTGTACGTTGCTTGCACGCTGTGCTGGTGTGAATTTTTTTGCCAAAATTTCATAAACCACAAGTATGTGAGTATATTATTATATAACAGTTAAATAATATTAATGAAGAAACTTGTGAAATGACATCTATAACGTGTTGGTGGGGGCGATTAGACAAATTTTGTGTTAACATTTTTTAGTAAATACGAAAATGATCTGTTTA